AGAGGAGGTGAAAGACTTACATGCTGAAAACTTTAAAAATTGATAAAGAAAATTGAAGATGATTCAAGAAAATGGAGAGATGTCCCACCCTCTTGGATTTAATTCAGTTTAGTTCAGTCACTCAGTCGTGTCCAACTCTTTGTGACCCCATGAACCGCAGCACACAGGCCTCCTTGTTCATCACTGACTCCCGGAGTTTATCCAAACTCACGTCCATTGAGTCAGTAATGCCATCCAACCATCTCATCCTCTGATGTCCCTTTCTCCTCCTGTCCTCAGTCTTTCCCAGTATCAGGGTCTTTTCAAATGAGTCAGCTCTTTGTATCAGGTGGCCAAAGTATTGGAGTTTCAGCTTCAACATCAATCCTTCCAGTGAACACCCAGGACTGATTTCCTTTAGGATGGACTGGTTGGATCTCCTTGCAGTCCAAGGGACTCTCAAGAGTCTTCTCCAACACCACAGCTCAGAAGCATCAATTCTTTGGTGTTCAGCTTTCTTCATAGTCCAACTCTCACATCCATACATGACTACTGGAAAAATCCATAGCTTTGACTAGATGGACCTTTATTGGCAAAGTAATGTCTCTGCTTTTTAATACGCTGTCTAGGCTGGTAGTAACTTTTCTTTCAAGGAGCAAACTTCACTGATGCTCTTTTCAACTTAAATGAATGGTTTATATGTGCTTTATTTTTTAAATTTTCTATAATTACATCCTCAAATTTGCTATTCTGTCATCTGTAATGTCCAATATGCTATTCATTCCATCCAATAAAATTTTCATCTGAGGCATGTTGTTTTGACTAAAAGAAGGTGCACTTTGCATTTTAAAAGCCCCCATATTGAGGTATGATTGATGTATAAAAAGCTGTGCATCCTTAATGTGTACAACTTGATGACATTGAAGGTAAGTATGCACTCATGAAACCATTATCACAATCAAGGCCATAAATCTATACATCACCTCCAAAAGTTTGTGCCAACCCCTTTAGTTTTGTTTGCTTTTGTAGTTAAGAACACAACATAAGATCTGCCCAGTAACCAAAAATTTAACACACTGTCATAACACTAGGCCCCATGCTGTACAGTAGAGTCTAAAACTCACTCATCTTGCAGTGCTGAAATTTGCATATTTTGACTGACACCTACCTCCCTCTTTCTGGTTCACCTCAGACCCTCTTAAACCACTGTTCTACTCTCTGACCTTTGAGTTTGGCTATTTCAGATTCCTCATTAAAAAAAAAAAAGAGATCATATAGTATTTGTCTTTCTGGGTCCAGCTTGTTTTATTCAGTACAGTGTCCTCTGGATCCATTCATGTTGTCCGTATTTTAGGATTTCCTGCTTTTACAGTTCAATAATATTCTACTGATGTATATACCACATGTTTTTCTCCATTCATCCTTCAGTGGTCACAAGTTGTTTCTATATCATGGCTATTGTGAATATTGTTGCAAGGAGTCTGGGAGTGCAGATGTCTCTTCAATATCTGGATTTCAATTTCTCATTTATTTATTCTTGGCTGCATTGAGTCTTCATTGCTGGGTGTGAAGTTTTTCTAGTTGCAAAGAGTAGGGGCTGCTCTTCATTGCAATGTGAGGGCTTCTCATTGCGGTGGCGTCTTGTTGCAGAGCACGGGCTCTAGGCACACGAGCTTCAGTAGTTGTGGTACATGGGCTCCGTTACTCAGCAGCATGTGGGATGTTCCCAGAGCAGAGATTGAAATCATGTCTGCATTTACAGGCAGATTCTCAATCACTAAACCACGAGGGAAGTGCCTGGATTTCCATTTCTTAATACATACCCACAAGAGGATTTGGAAATCATATGGTAGTTCTATATTTAATTTTTTAATGAACTTCCGTGCTATTTTCCACTCCGGCTTCACCAGTTTACATCCCCATCAAAAGTGTACAACAGGGGCTTCCCTGGTGGCTCAGTGGTAAAGAATTCACCTGCCAGCACAGGAAATGCGTGTCTGATCCCTGACATGGGAAGATTCATGTGCCTCAGAGCCACTAAGCCCATGCACCACAACTACTGAATCTGTGCTCTAGAGCACAGGAACTGCAACTACTGAAGCCTGCACACCCTAGAGCCCATCTTCCATAACAAGAAAGCCACTGCAACAAGAAGCCTGCATACCACCTCCAGAGAGTAGCCTCTGCTACCTGCAACTGAAGAAAAGCCTGTGAAGCAACAAAGACCCAGCACAGCCAAAATAAATAAATAAAATTACTTTTTAAAAGTGCACAACAGTTCCCCTTTCTCAATATCCTGATCAACACTTCTTGTCCTTTGATTATTTTGGTAGCAGACATCTTCACAGGTGTGAGATGAGATCTAACCATAGTTTTGATTTGCATTTCCCTTTTGATTAGTGATGCTGAGCATTGTTTCATGTGCCTGTTAGTCATCGGTATGTCGTCTTTGGGAAAATGCCTGCTTAGGTCTTTTACAAAACCCTAATTTTATCAGGGTTATTTCTGGGGGTTTTGTCATGGATTTGTGTTTTCTTCATATATTTGGGGTACTAAAGGCTGTGTATGGCCCCAATTCAGCATTACCTCCTCTCATTACCCTGCACACAAGTTTCACCTTAAGCTAGCCCTTCCTAGCTGTGCACCTGCATGCTCTCAATCCCCCCAGCCTCCTCTGCCATGTGCCCTCATGTGAGGAGATCCTGCTGTCAGTAACTACACAGTTCATTAGTAGTTCTGGGAAAAATCATTGTTGACACAACACTTCGAGCCAAAGGAGCATCCCAAGTATGAGAAAAAAAGAGATGCCTACACACAAAAAATACAGGGATCTTTACGTACGCATGTGTGTTTAGTTGCTCAGTCATGTCCGACTCTTTGTGACCCGACGGACCATAGCCCACTAGGCTCCTCTGTCCATGGGGATTCTCCAGGCAAGAATACTGGAGTGGGTTGCCATGCCCAACTAGGGGATCTTCCCAACCCAGGGATTGAACCCAGGTCTCCTGCATTGAAGGCAGATTCTTTACCATCTGAGCCACTATGGAAGCCCAATGCATATGCTTAGATTGGACAAAAATGTGTTCTGTAAGTTGAGTAAATCTGTTCTTCAAATTCTTACATAATCTTGTGCCAAAAGTCTTTCCAACATGGAATTTTATTATGTCTGCAGTTACAGAATAATATGGTCAGAGAAAAACATTGTGGCTATCAACCAACCAAGCCAGGTAAATTCCAGCTCCAGGATTTTCCTCACCGTTTTGACCCCAAATCTATCATTTCCTATCAAAAGCTTGACTAATTAAATTACAGTTGTAATACTTTCATCAAAACATCCTATCATCTCTCTGCCATGCTCAAACTGTATTTCTGTTATAGCATGTACATGTGTCGTATCAGGTAGCAACAGTGTTATTTCACATTAGAACTAACAATGGACACCCAGAGTTTATTGTATCAAATCTCTCATTCATAAATATAGATCATTGTTATAGATTTATTTGACGAGACTTTCAATTACAGTTAGACTTATTTCCATCTATGATTAAACTTCTTTAAACTTTCTGTAGTTTCCCTTCCTGTGTTCCTTCTTCTCCAGGTCTTCTGTAGTGAAATCAATCTGGCAAAGCAGGAAAACCATTGGGAACTTTCAACTACAGACATATAAATTTTCATCATAGTTGTAACTAGAGTTGTAAAGATTTATATTCTACTTATATACAACGTATTCAACATTGAAGTAATTTTATTGAGTCATTTTAAGTAATTTTATTTCCATTATGACAGTTATGTACATATATGTCCTTCAAAACTCAATATAGTGACTGTGTTACATCTATGCCTGAACCAATTTGATATTCTTAATACTTGTGAATTTTACTCTCCATCCCCTTGCACTCATCACAAGTAGATACTTAAAACCACATTTTCCCAACTTTGAGATTCCACATGCATCAAATGGAATTATGTATGTTGGGTTCTTCATTAAAATTTGTTGAATGCTATTGATCTAAAACAAATTAATAGGAAGGACTTCCCTGGTGGTCCAATTGTTAATACACCTGCCAATTCAGGGGACACAGATTTGATATCTGATCCAGGAAAATTCCACATGCTGTGGGTTCAGTTAAGCTCATGTACCACAATTAGTGAGCCTGCACTCTCGGGCACGTGAGCTGCAACTACTGAGCTCACATGCCACAACTACTGATGCCTGCACACTCTAGAGTTCATGCTCTGCAACAAGAGAAGCCACTACAAGGAGACGCCCACACCACAACCAGAGAGTAGCCCCCATTCGCCACAATTAGAGAAAGTCTGCATGAAGCAATGAAGACCCAGCATAGCCAAAAATAAAAATAAATTAATTTCAAAAACTAATGAATAGAAGAAGGTCCAGGAAGATTTTTCATCTGAATATAAAGAAGAATATTAGTTATTTCAAATAGTGGACATTCATAAGACAAAAAATTTATTAGAAGAAGAAATAAGCAGAACCTTAAAAAACATATTTGCAAGTCTATATAGGAGATTCCAGAAATAGGAGGGAGACTGCATTAGATGCAAAAGGTGGATTTGCCCTCCAAGAGTCTGTGGTTCTATTTCTGTAATCACACCCTGGTCAGGGCATTCCTCAGAGCCTGGTGGACCTGCTTATTCCGTAGAGTGTAGATGACAGGGTTCATCAGCGGGGTCACCACCGTGTTCACAAGGGCAGCCTCCTTGTTGGAGTACAGTTGATTTGTTCCCTTTGGTTTCATGTATATAAAGACACAGCTGCCATACATAAGAGAGAGGACGGTGAGATGGGAGGAGCAGGTGGAGAAAGCTTTCTGTCGCTCCTTGGCTGATGGGAGATGCATGATTGTGACTACTATGTTGCTGTATGAAATGATGGTTATAATGAAGGATGTTGAAAGGGTAAACAAAGCAAGGCCAAAGGCCAACATTTCAATAGATCTGATGTCAGAACAAGAGAGATTAATCAAGGTCCCCAAATCACAGAAGAAGTGAGGAATAACATAGAAGCCACAGAAGGATAACTGAGAAAGTTTTGTAACTGGAACCACTGTGAGGGAGAATCCCAAAACTAGGCAGGCAGTGACCAGAAGGGAACACATCCTCGGGTTCATGATGGTTGGATAATAAAGAGGCTTGCAAATGGCCATGTACCGATCCAAGGATAATACAGCCATAAGGAAGAAAACAGTTGCTCCCAGGGAAAGAAAGACAAAGGCTTGTGTCATGCAGGCAACAAAGGAAATTTTTTGCCTCCCCAACAGAAAGATGGCCAGCAATTTAGGAATAACAGTGGTTATAAAACAGCATTCTGAAAGGGAAAAACTGCTGAGGAAGAAGTACATAGGTGTCTGGAGGTGATGGTCAGCCCGGGTGATGGTGATGATGAGTATGTTTCCTGTGATGGAGGCCAAATACATCAGCAGGTGCACCAAGAAGAGGACCTTCCCCAGGTGCTGGACAGCAGGAAACCCCTCAAGGATGAATTCCTGAACTGCTGTCCTATTTCTTGCATCCCCCATTAATGACTTTTCCATTTCTTCAATAAACTCTCTTTGTATTATGCAGTGTCATCATTAAGGAATGAGGATTCTTATTTTATTACATATATAAAATAATGTAGGTATGGTGACTAGATTTATTATTTTAAACATTATATTTTATGTATAGTTTTTGCCCATTAATAAGTAAAGATAAGTGATTTCTGTCTTTGGTTATATTTACTGAGACACAGCCTAAAATCTTGGATAAGTAAGAACTGCATGTACCTACAAGTTTTCATAAAATTATTTTAACAGAGCTAGTCATTTTCCTAAATAGTCTATTGCCAAGCAGAGAAAAAGTCCTTTTAGTTGTGTATCTACTTATGCAACATGTTCCTGGTAAGATATCTCTTATACCATGCATCTTCAAGATGAATATAGCAAAAGGAAAATTGTAGCCTTAAAAAAAACTTATGGTCATGGAGTCTGTCACTACACAAAAAAAATCCCCACTTGATGTACTTAGGATTTGACATCTCTATTTATAGCATCACTCGCAGGAAAATTTCTGGTGGTCTAAGTTGCAGCTTTCTAAAGTGAGTCAGATTAGAAGAGTTAACAGACAGACTCTGATCAGATTGTTGGAGTGCCAACCAAGGTCAGATTTCTACAAAGTCTGAGACCAGCTGGTAAAAGAGGAGAATTTTTCCTTTGTCCTGTGCAGGCTTCTCAGGTGACACTAATGGTAAAGAACTCGGCTGCCAATGCAGGGGGTATAAGAGACACAGGTTTCCTGAATCCCTGAATCCGTAAATCAGGAAGACCCTCTGGAGGGGGGCATGGCAACCCTAGACAATCCCAGGGACAGTTAAACCCTGCAGGCTACAGTCCATAGGGTCGCAAAGAGTCAGACACAACTGAAGAGACTTAGCACTCACACAGCGGTCAGTCTAGGGGAGAATCAGTATCTCCTGACCCTTTCGGTTTATATATTTGGGGAAACGGGCTTCCCTGGTGGCTCATATGGTTTAAAAAAAAAAAAATCTGCCTGCAATGCAAGGTACCCAGATTTGATCCCTGGGTTGGGAACATCTCTGGAGAAGGATATGGCAAACCACTGCGCTATTCTTGCCTGAAGAATTCCATGGATAAAGCAGTCTGGCAGGCTACAGTCCATGGGGGTCATAAAGAGTCAAACACGACTGAGTGACTAACATTTTCACTCAGGTTGAGGACAAAAAGAGTGCATGCTTTCACTCCCGCAATTATTTTCTGATTCATTTTCTCTCCAATTGTCTACCTAAATAAAATACTACCTTTCACTCTCTAATCCATAAATTTCTCGTACATGAGCCTTTCTCACGCAATTAATGTTAATCTTTGATCTCCGAACTAGACCATCCGATACAGCCCAGTATGTAAGACCAGCTTAAAGAGAAGCAGACTTTGTTTCAGCTTAAAATAAATAAATTACAAAATTATCCAATCACACTAAGGTCATGTACTCACCCACACGCAACTAACAGTAACCAGAAACTTGTCCTCTACTCTTCTAACTAAAGAAGATGCTGGTTTAGGCAGAAGGAAGGGAGGAAAGAAAAAGAAAGGAAGGCATAAAGGAAGAAAGGAAAGAGCGAGAGAGGAGAAAGGAAGAAAGGAAAGAGAGTAGAAAGGAAAGAAGGAGGGAAGAACAAAGGGAAACACCTGTACTTGAAATAACCCTAATTTGCCCCAGAGAAAATTTCAACATCTGTATCATGTCTGATAAGCCTTCTTCTTCATATGAATCCAGAGTTTTCCAAAATTGGAATAAACCAAAGTGGCAGTTCCATGGCAATCTTTCCTGATGAAATTCTGGGAAAGAAAGAAGAGCACATATTACCCTTGACACTCTACTGGAATCTGGGAGTGAGTTCTCTAGGAATTTCAAAAAGCCATCATACTCTCCTTGCAGGCTCCCAGTTCCCCAGACTCCCATTCTGCTCCTACCTCAGCCACCACCAGCAGGAGATGCCCCTGGCTGGGAAACGTTACCGGGCATTGTGGGAGACAACAGCCTCCTCTCAAACTGCTCCCTGGTACACACACTTCTCTAAAATTTCTCAAAAATGACTTGCAGGGCAGATAAAATTTGTTACCACTCCCCACCTCTCCAGTTTTGGGAAAATGCGCATGTCTCTGCAGGCAGAGATGAAAGTGAAATGAATTTTGCCACCTATATTTTAGCACTGGACTGTCTCGCGACACCACTTAGGATACACCAGGACCAGTGGGCACACCTGACCTCATTAGAAGAAGATAGAAGAAAGCCTTCTAGAGATCAAAGCTGCTCCAGGATCCCTGGTGACTGCTAATTGGGCACTGTTGGAAATATAAAATTAGAGCACACATATGACAGTTAGTCTTTCAATATATATGCAACTATAGCAATATTGACTCACAAAGGTCTGGATATTCCTCCTGAAAATCTTCAGTGGTGGACTACATATAATCCTCCTAGAGCTTGTAAAGTCCCGCTGCATTATGTTCCTAAGGTGGAGTCAGATGGAGAATTTGGATTCATACGTGGCCCTAATAAAGTAAAATTCTCCCTTATTCTGTTATAGCAGTGTCAAAGACACCAAATAAAATAAACTATTTCAATAAGAGCTAGGTTCTCATAACTTAACACCAAAAAATGTCCAGGTTTCAGTTGATAGTAACTAGTTATAAGAAGAACAAGGATAATTTCAACTCAAAAGAATAAAAGACAATAAAATTAACACCAATATCAAGATGACAGAGATACTAGAATTACATGACCAAGACTTTAAAGTGGCATTATGAAAAATGCTTCAACGATAAATTAAAAACATACTTGAAACAATTTTTTAGAAAATTTCAGTCAGGAAATGGAAGGCATAAAGAGTAACCAAATGAAAATGTTGGAAATGAAAAATACAATAGCTAAAGTTTTTAAAAATTCAATGGACAGGCTCAACAGCACAATGGAGGGGAAAGAGGGGAATCAGTGAAATGACAAAACAATAGAAATTATTCAGTAGGACCGACAAAAAGTAAACAGACTGAAAAAAATCTAAACACAGCCACATGGGCCTTAGAACAACTTTTAAAAGATCTAACAATTTTATCTTTGAAGTCTAAAAAGATGAGAAACGGAGTAAGGAATTTCTGTATACCAGCAACGAACATGTGGACATCGAAACTAAAAGTACAAAGCACTTACAATCACTCAGGAAGAATGAAATGCTTCTGTGTGAATCTAACAAAACGTGTAGAACTTATATAATGAACGCTACAAGCTACTGAAAAAGAAAGATCAAAATAATAAAGAGATATACTATGTTCATGCATTTGAAAACTAGAGAGGAGAGATCAAGGTGGCAGAATAAGAATACACGGAGCTCACTTCCCTCCACAAGCACATCAAAAATACATCTATGTGTACAATAATTCTCAGTGAAAACTAACTGGAAACTAGCAGAAGGACTCTTATACAACCAAAACTGAAAGAAAGATATATCCATCATTGGGTAGGAGTTGAAGAAAAGTGACAGTTGGGATCTCTGTTCCTGGGAAGGGACTCAGAAGAAAAGGGAGATTGCACCTGCACTGGGGACTGAACAGGTCAAGCACAAGACTGTGCATCCCAGTTCTGGGGTCCCACATGGAGGAGACAAACCCTCTTGCCTGGTTGGAGGACCACTGGGACAGATGGAAAAGAAGCCTAGACTCAGCTCACGAGGAGTGTGTGTACAATGGCTTAACACTAGGTGGGGTGGAGAGACGTCTGCCCTAGTGGTCCCTGGGTTTCCCACAACTTCCTCACCACATGACCAGCCCAAGCTGAGGAAACACACTGGCCAGGTTCACCCCCATGTACTGAATCTGAGGTGGCCAGTGCCAGAGAAAAGGCTTAGCCTTAGAATGCACAAGTGATCCATTCCCAGAAAAGAGCCTGGGTGGCAGTGATTGTTGGTGGTGCTTTCTCAAGCTGGGTAACCAGTAACCACTAATTTTGTTTTTAGTGGTGGCTGCACCAATGTACATTTCCACCAACAGTGTACAATGGTTCCCTTTTCTCCACATCCTTACCAACATTTGGTCTTTGTGTTCTTTTTGATGATAACCATTTTGACAGGTGTGAGATGATATCTCATTGTGGTTTTGATTTGCATTTCCCTGATGATTAGCAAGGCTGACCATCTTTTCATGAGCCTATTGGTCACCAGCACTTTCCCTTTGGAAAAATGTCTACTGAGTTCTGCCAGTTTATTAATCTGGTTGTTTCATTTTCTAATGTTGAGTTGTATGAGCTGGTTATATATGTTGGATATCAGTTATATCATTTGCAAATATTTTTTTCCATTCATTAGGTTGTCTTTTCATTTTCTCAATGGCTTCCTCCACTATGCAAAAGTTTTTAAGTTATTTAGGTCCCATATGCTTATTTCTGTTTCCTTTACTTTTGGAGATGGATCAAAAAATTTTGCTATTTATGTCAGAAGAATGTTTTGCCTATGTTTTCCTCTAAGAGTTACATAGTATTCAGTCTTACATTTAGGTCTTTAATTCATTTTGGGTTTATTTTTGTATATGGTGTTAGAGAATGTTCCAGTTTCATTCTTTTCCATGTAGCTGTCCCATTTTCCCAGCCCCACTTATTGAAAAAACTCTCTTTTCTCCATTATAAATTCCCTCTTCTGTTGTAGACTACTGTTCAGTTTCTAAGTTATGTCCGACTCTTTTCAACCCCGTGAACTGCAGCATGCCAGGCTTCCCTGTCCTTCACTATCTCCGCAGTTTGCTCAAACTCATGTTCATTAAGTCAGTGATGCCATCCAACTATCTTATCTTCAGTCACTCCCTTCTCCTCCTATCCTCAATCTTTCCCTGCATTAGGGTCTTTTCTAATGAGTTGGCTCTTCGCATCTGTGGCCAAAGTATTAGAGTTTCAGCTTCAGCATCAGTCCTTCCAATGAATATTCAGGGTTTATTTCCTTTAGGGTTAACTGCTTTAATCTCCTTGCTGCCCAAGGGGCTCTTAAGAGTCT